GAGACTGAGATCTGAGGATCATAGTTCAAAGCCAACCAGGCAGGAAAGACCATGAGACTCTTATCTCCAATAAACCACTCAGAAAACCGGAAGTGGTGCTGTGGCTCAGGTGGTAGAGTGCTAGCCTTGAGCTCTCTTCAGCTCAAGCGACAAGCGCCCAGGCCCAGAGTTCAAGCCCCATGACTGACCAAAAAAAAAGTCTCACAGAGGTTCCTACCTGGGCATCCTGTGAATCTCTGTCCTTAGATCTCAACTTCCTGAGTAGCTAGGATTTCAGGAGTAAGCAACTGGCACCTGGTTTTCCTTGACTTTTGTTTTTAGTTTTTTTGGGGGGGTCCGGTCATGGGGCCTGAACTCTGGGCCTGGGCGCTGTCCCTCAGCTCTTCAGCTCAAGGCTAGCACTCTACCACTTGAGCCACAGCGCCACTTCCGGTTTTCTAGTGGTTTATTGGAGATAAGAGTCTCATGGACTTTCCTGACTGGGCTGGCTTTGAACCATGATCCTCACATCTCAGCCTCCTGAGTAGCTAGGATGACAGGCATGAGCCACCAGCACTCCGCTCCCTATTGGGTTCTTACTACATCAGTTTGAGTCATAATTTTAGCAGCTCAATCTAGATCAATTATAGCCATCAGTTCACCTGTCTGGAAAAATCAAGAGACCACAGAGTCCTTGTACTGAGACCACATAGCATTAAAGGATATGGTAAAAGCTGGTCACTGGTGACTCAAAACCCATTTCCAAGCCCTGAGTTCCAGCCCTATATCTGAGGGGGGAAAATATAGTAGGAGTTGGAGACATGGCTCAAGTGGTAGAGAGCCAGCCAGTGAAATACCATACTGAGTTCAAGTCCTGGTCTCAAAACAAACACAAACAAAAAAAAAACCCAAACTAATAAATATAGTCGGGGATGGGAGGAGGAACAGCTGTCCAGATGAAGGTCACCTGCTTTCAAAAGTTGCCACTGCTGAGCAGCGTTGGCTCACGCCTGTAAACCTAGCTACTCAAGAGACTGAGATCTGAGGATCATAGTTCAAAGCCAGCCCGGGCAGGAAAGTCTGTGAAACTCTTATCTCCAATAAACCACCAGAAAACCAGAAGTGGCGCTGTGGCTCAAGTGGTAGATTGCTTGCCTTGAGCTGAAGAGCTGAGAGACAGCGCCCAGGCCCAGAGTTCAAGCCCTACGACCGAAAAATAAAAAGTTGCCACTGTCTTCCAGTCTGGCCCAACTTAGCTTGTGTGTATAAATCCCATGGTCCCTTACCAGAAAGCAGTGTGTGTGTATGGCTGCTGTGTCCACATAGCCCTACATCAAAAGTATCAAGCATGATGACTCTCTATGCTAGGGCTTTGGATGGACAGCTAGGTCAAGCCATAACTACCTTGCTTGTTGCTCCCCGGGAGACAGGCTGTCAATCACCATCTTATCGGTGGTGGGCGGGAAGGCAGGCTCAGCCAATAGTACTTGAGGATGGCACAGAGTGGGGGAAGGGAATGGACCCTACCCTCCAGGCCACCACAAGCAAGCTATTGCTGTCATGGCTTCTTACCTCTCACTGATTGGCAAGGAATGAATGGCTGTCCGTGCCTGAGATTCTCATGATGGGAAAAGCCACACTGAGAGAAGTGTGGATACCTTTGCATCCCCAAAGCCTTTGTAGCCCTTTGAGCTACAAGAGCTACAATTGGTTGGGACGTGGCTCAGTGATAGAGCATTTGCCTAGTATAAACAAGGCCCTGGGTTCAATACCCAGTACCATTAAATCCGTTAATAAATAAATAAAGGCCTCAAGTACCAGATGATCAATCTTGTTCTTAGCCTAGGGATGTAGACTAAGCCACCCACCCTGTTAAATTGTTTGAATGGAGATTCTCAGATCTCAGCCTCCTAAGCAGCTAGGATTACAGGCATGAGCCACCAGCACACAGTTTCTATTCATTTTATTTATTTATTTTTTTATTTCATTGACAGTTCTGGGGCTTGAACTCGGGGCTTGCACACAGTCCCTGAGCTTTTTTGCTCAAGGCTAGCACTCTACCACTTGAGTCACAGCTCTCCTTCCAGCTTTTTGGTGGTTAATTGAGAAAAGAGTCTCATGGACTTTCCTGCCCAGACTTTGAAACACGATCCTCAGATATCAGCCTCCTGAGTAGCTAGGATTACAAGTGTGAGCCATGGGTGCCTGACTTGCATGCGATGGTTTTGAAGTGTGCTCATGGCCATTTCTATGCCCCCAAGGGGAGGCTGACATCACTACAGGGTACCATGGCAAGTGCTCAGTAGACATAGATTAAAAGTATGACTGGGCTGGGCACTGGTGGCTCACACCTGTAATCTTAGCTACTCAGGAGGCTGAGATCTGAGGATCACGGTTCAAAGCCAGCCTGGACAGGAAAGTCCGTGAGACCCTTATCTCCAATTAACCACTAGAAAACCGGAAGTGGCACTGTGATTCAA